TCCCCAACCGCGTCATACCAAAAGACGTTAAAATATGGTTCTTGTTGGTCCCTGCCTGGCGCTCGGCATTAATGGGTACAACAAGGACTGGTCGGCTCGGAGTCAGTATACTGTGTCTGAGTGGGGTATTCATGCTTCACTGCGGCATGGTATCTCAGTGGGCTAGCACTATAAAACCAGCTTAAGTCTGGGCTAGTACAAGCAGCCGCACATATACATACACACGCATGCACGTCGTCATATGAGAGAAATATTCTCGAGCACGACGTTAAACCCAATTTCACAACACCTGTCGTTAGGAATGAGTGAGTTTAGCTTTACGCCGCTTTTAGCAATTTACGCCGCTTTTTGCAATATTCCAGCAATATCAGGAGAGAATACAAGTAATGGGCTTCACATATTGTAAACATTGTGAAGAAACGAACCAGGGTCTTTGGTGTGACGAGCGAACGATTGAACCGCATGGATTTTCCATTGTGTTTTTTTCCATTAGCATCTCCTTTAATAAATCCATCAAAGGTTGCTCCGATGCGTCTAATGGTTGAACGTTGATTTACGACGGTCATAGCTATAGAACTGAGAATACACAATCCAAGACTCACATGTTCAATCATCGAAGAGGTAGGTGTATTTGAAAATAACATGGAACTTATGGATGCTCTATCCATGACCTTCCAAGTCCAACCCATGCACGTCCAAATCTACTATTCTACTTGTTTTACTGTACTTCGTCGACAGGTTATTATAATATACATATATTCCTTTTCAATGTCAAATATGTTGTCATCACGATATGGCTGCAATATTGCCGATGTGACGTTAAATAATAACTCACTCACTCACTCCAATTCTAGTGTGGTGTGAGTTCCATGGCTAAAATGTTTCAAGACCTGGATTACATTGAATGTTATGGGTTTAGTGGATTGCATTGGATTTGACTGGATTCTGTTTCTACATGACTGCATGGGATTGCGTGATGTTCTATCGCTATAACATTGCATAGGATTGTATATGATTCTGTTTCTATGGGATTGCATGTGATTCTATCTGGCTCTATTGGATTGGATAGCATATTATGGGATTCTGTTTGAGTAGGATTGGATGAGATTTTATGGGGTTATATTTGTGTAGGATTGGAAGGGGTTGTAAGGGATTCTATTTCTGTGGGATTGCATGGGACTATATGGGATTCTATTTCTATCTGACTGCATGGCACTGCGTGTAATTCTGTTATAGGATTGTATCAGATTGAGTGCTTTTTCTATTTCATTATGATTGCATGGGATTGCGTATAATTCTGTTATAGGATTGTATCAGATTGAGTGCTTTTTCTATTTCATTATGATTGCATGGGATTGGGTGGGATTCTGTTTCTGTGGATCTCATGGATTTGCCATTGATTCTTTTTCTATAGGATTGCATGGGATTGCGTAGAATTCTATTTCTACATGGTTGCATGGGATTTTATTTCTACAGGATTGCATGATATTGTGTGGGATTCTGTTTCTATAGGATTGTATTGGATTACGTTTGATTATATGGCATCGGAGGGGTTGTGTAGGATTCTATTCCTATAGGATTCTATTCTATGAGATCGCAGATATTTATATTGGATTCTATTTCTGTAAGATTGCATGGGATTCTATTTCTATAGGATTGCACGCTATTGTCTGGGATTTTGTTTCTATAGCACTGCATGGGATTTTGAATGGGGTTCTAATTTTAGAGGGTTGCATGGATTCTGTTTCTACAGGATTGCTTGCTATTGCATGGGATTACATTTCTATAGGATTGCATGGGAGTATATGATAGTCTATTTCTATAGGGTTTAATGGAATTAGATTCAATGGTATTAAATGTGTTGATATGCCATTCTATTTCTACAGGATTGCTTTAGATTGCGAGGGATTCTACTTCCACAGGATTGAATGAGATTGTGTGAGATTCTATTTTTATAGGATTGTATGAGTTTATGTGGGATTCGTTTTCTTTAGGATTATTTGGGATTTCATGGGATTATATTTCTATGGGATTGCATTGGCTCCTACTTCAATAGGGTTGCACTGGAGTGCATGGGATCCTACTTCAATAGGGTTGCACTGGATTGCATGGATCCTACTTCAGTATGGTTGCACTGGATTGCATGGGATCCTACTTCAATAGGGTTGCACTGGATTGTATGGTTCTACTTCAATAGGGTTGCACTGGATTGCATGGGATCCTACTTCAATAGGGTTGCACCGGATTGCATGGGATCCTACTTCAATAGGGTTGCACTGGATTGCCTGGGGTTCTTCAGAATTCCATGGGATTGCGTAGCATAGTACGGTATTGTATGGACTTACATGGGAATACATCTGATTGCATGGCTTTGTATCCGAATATATAGGATTGCATGGGTTGTGTGAAGGTCTTCGCCTGTATGTCTCTGGTTTCATTAAATCCTGATGTCAAATAAAGCAAAAAGTAGATTTTTGTTTGAAACTAAAGAAAATCCAAATGTGGAAAAATTCAAAAGTTATTTGTGGGTCCTGAAAGAACAAGCATTAAAATGTCAATCTAGTGGTGTTTCCTGTTAAACATGATGTCTTATCTATGCTTTGATTGCTTTCTTCTGTACACTGTACAACTCACTCCGCTGAATTGTTTCAAGGGTATTATAAATGTAAATTCCATCATTCGATTAAAATGTTTATTCAAAAGACATAACTGTACTCCATACATATAGAAATAACATAAAAATAGAAGAACAAATACACGCATATGAAAAGGTTAATTTTGTTTTTTCATGAAACATTCAAAACAAATGCAAATATTTTGATTGATCGTGATTTGGGGCACGTTCGTTAACATTATGTTGGTGTAGTGCATAAACGCATAAACATTAACCTCTGCAACTTTGTACAGTAATTTTCTTAATTTTCTCGATTGTGTCGATAAACTCGAAGTATTTTCGTGAGTACCTTAAAGAATGGCGCTTGACCGCATTCTTTAAGGGGGTGAACTGTATGCAAGAAAATATTTGCAAATAAACCTGCAAAAACGTACCTTTAATCAAATGACAAGAAGTAAACGCATGTAGAAAATAATAAAATGTATCCAAATTATGCACCAAAGACAACGATATCACGAACTTCCAGCTAATACAATAACTCTTCAAATTAATATCATGACATAAGGCATTACATTTACACAAACAAAGCATCTTTTTCATAAACAATGTGAATTACACAGACAACAGGAATTAATAATATATGCAATACAAAGGACTTCGGGAAGATGTAAATGATTCACAACATCTAGTCATATTTTAACTGTCAATGTAATGACGTAAGTGCACCTGGAATATATGTGAATTAATATAATATATTTAAATTGATATATGTGCCGAGAGAACATCTATTTGTAAACACAAGTGTTACTAATCTAGCTCGTTGTGTGATTGTGTTGAAACACTATACCTTATATTTCGTGAGCTGTAGTATTTATTCATGAGTATAGTAAAAAACAAAATAATAATAATTAATTAATACTTAGTCCATTTATATTGCGCTAAATCCACACCTACAGCATGATCATAGCTCAGGCAGTTCAGTATTACCCCGAATAACCCAAACTGCCTGTGAGGCGCTAGAAAGTTATTCATTTTCTTCTGGGTGAACAGAATTTAAACAAAACCGTATTTCCGTATGCTTAAGAACTCTATATCCAAAGCTGAGTCATTTGTACAATTGAAATTATAAATATACTTATGAATCACTATCTAATAGTGATGATAGCAGGTGTTCACGGAAAGGTTAGCGTATCCTGCTCCACCGATAGCACAAACACATGCAAACCATCTCATTTCTGGTCATTTGTAGAAAGCCCAGAATTATTGATATACCATTCTATTGTAACACATGTTGCACTTTCATGTGTTACATTTGAGCACTTTCTAAATAGCATGTGTGTTCATACCACTTTATTTCAAGTGAAACTCTTACCGACTTCATAAGGATCCTTACGGCGTGTCCGAGTTAGAGACTTCACATGAAGTCTACACATCACTTGTCCACTTGCACACACGGTTATATCTAAACTAGAGAAAAAACATGACTCGCGCTTACCTTAACAAGAGTGAGTGAGTGAGTTTAGTATTACGCCGCACTCAGCAATATTCCAGTTATATTGCAGCGGTCTGTAAATAATCGAGTCTGGACCAGACAATCCAGTGACCAACCGCATGGGCATCGATCTACCCACTTGGGAATCGATGACATGAGTCAATCAAGTCAGCGAGCCTGACCACCGATCCAGTTAGTCTCCTCTTACGACAAGCATGGGTTGCTGAAGATCGGTTCTAAACCCGGGTCTTCAATGGTACCTTAACAAGCAAGTTAACTTCCGGTTTGGTGACGTCAGTTCTGTTGCTACATATCACAATGCAGTTTGAGTTAAAAATGAGTTCTCGGTATCTTGCTACCTGAACTGATAGTTTATGAGCATATCATGTGGAAACAGAAACCCCTAGGCCTCCTACTTGTCCTAAAGGAAATTCGTTCACTTACAGGATAAACAACTTTAAAACAAAATATCAAGCTTCAAGCTTGTGTCTGACAACACAGTTGTATTTATTGGCCTCACTTTGAATTCACTTCACTTAATTTATCAGGTTGGATGTGCCAACGGCTATACCGGAAGCGGACAAATACAACAGCAACACAGAGATTAGACACATATCACAGTCACACTGAGGGTAGAAATGTACAACAATCACCCTTAGAATAGAGAAGTACAACAGTCACACTGAGAGTAGAAATATACAACAATCACACTTAGAATAGCGAAGTACAACAGTCACACTTAGAATAGAGAAGTACAACAGTCACACTTAGAATAGAGAAGTACAACAGTCACACTTAGAATAGAGAAGTACAACAGTTACACTGGGAATAGAGAAGTACAACAGTCACACTTAAAATGGAGAAGCACATTATCCACAATTAGAGTACAGAAGTACAACGGCTACTCTTAGAATAGAGAAGTACAACAGTCACACTTAGAAAAGAGAAGTACAACAGTCACACTTAGAATAGAGAAGTACAACAGTCACACTGGGAATAGAGAAGTACAACAGCCACACTTAGAATAGAGAAGTACTATAGTCACACTTAGAAAAGAGAAGTACAACAGTCCCACTGTCACACTTAGACTAGAGAAGCACAGCAGTTACTGTTACATTGAGCCTGTTTTTAATCCAGTATCATATTGATCGTAATTTGTTAGTCTCTATGTCATTCACTTATTATACCTGATACAGAACCATGTCATGACCTTCAAGATGTCGCCAAAGACAACTGCCATGAAGGGAACAGCCACCACAATCAGATACGCCCAACCAATCACAACAGCAGAAGACCTCTTGTCCACACGACTTGTCTTCTTCAGGATTGATTTTGTCATGTCTTTAGAGTTGACGGATACATTTTTCTTCAGTTCTGTCACTTTCTCTGCCACTGCCTCTGGTTTGCTTGGTGCTGCCTTCAGATTTCGGCACCTACAGATACATTTCTTGAAGATCTTCCGCCCCATACGATCAACACCTAGCGGTTTTACTGTTGTCTCAGCAAATGTGGGGTCAGTTGCGGTAGATGTTGTGGCGGTTTCACCTGTAGTAGTAGTTGTAGTGGTGTCAGTTACAGTTGTAGTAGTGGCGGTGGTTTCACCTGCAGTACTGGTGGTGTCTGTGGTCTCAGTGGCTGTACTGGTGGTGTCAGTGGCTGTACCGGTGGTGTCAGAGGCTGTACTGGTGGTGTCAGAGGCTGTACTGGTGGTGTCAGAGGCTGTACTGGTGGTCTCAGTGGCAGTACTGGTGGTGTCAGAGGCTGTACTGGTGGTGTCAGAGGCAGTACTGGTGGTGTCAGTGGCTGTACTGGTGGTGTCAGAGGCAGTACTGGCAGCAATTGGTGGCGTCAAAGGCAGTGGTGGGTGTCTGGTGGTGTCAGAGTACTGGTGGTGTCAGAGGCTGGTGGTGTCAGAGGTACTGGTGGCAGTTCCTGGTGGTCTCTGTGGGTGGCAGTAATTGGTGGTCCCAGTGGCAGTACTGGTGGTGTCAGAGGCTGAACTGGTGGTGTCAGAGGCAGTAAACTGATGGTGTCAGTGGGCTGGTGGTGTCAGAGGCAGTACTGGTGGTGTCAGAGGCAGTTCTGGTGGTGTCAGAGGCTGTACTGGTGGTGGCAGTACACCTGGTGGTGTCAGTGGCAGTTCCGTTGGTGTCAGAGGCAGAGGCACTGGTGGTGTCAGAGGCAGTGCTGGTGGTCCTGTTGTCTCAGTGGCAGTACCGGTGGTGCCAGTGGCAGTAGTGGTGGGTGTCAGAGGCAGTACTGGTGGTGTCAGAGGCAGTACTGGTGGTGTCAGAGGCAGTACTGGTGGTGGTGTAATTGGTGGCAGTCAGAGGCAGGTGTCAGAGGCAAATTGGTGGTGCCAGAGGCACCCGGTGGTGTCAGAGGCAGAACTGGTGGCGGAAGTTAGTCAGAGGCAGTACTGGTGGTGTCAGTGGTGGCGGCCAGCGGCAGACTGGTGGTGGCCAGTGGCAGTAAAATTGGTGGTCCCAGAGGCTGCGCTGGTGGTGTCAGAGGCAGTACCTGATGGTTGGCAGTACTGGTGGTGTCAGTGGCAGTACTGGTGGTGGTGTCTCTGTGGGCAGTAGTAGTGACTGGTGGTGTGGCACTGGTGGTGTCAGTGGCAGTCACTGGTGGTTGGCAGAGGCAGTAGTGGTGGTGTCAGTTTCAGTGGCAGCAGTGGTGTCAGTCGTGGTGGTGTGCCAGTGGCAGGTGTCAGTAGGCAGTCTTGAAAGCTGGTGGTGGTGGTGTCAGTTGCTACCTGTAATGGCAGTACTGGTGGTGACAGCAACTGGTGGTAGCCAGAGGCCGCACCCCGATGCGTGTCACTGGTTAGTACGGTGGTGTTAGAGGTGTGTGGCAGTGCTGGTGGTGTCAGTGACAGAACTGTTTGTGCCAGCGGCAGTGCTGGTGGTGTCAGTGGCAGCATGCTGGTGGTGTCAGTGGCAGTACTGGTGGTTGTGTCAGCTTCCAGAAGTGGTGGTGGCAGTGATCGCTGTATGTGCAGTAAGTGATGGCATCAGCTGCAGTAGTGGCGGTGGTTTTGAAATATTTCACAAAACACTGGATCTTCTTCAAACGGTGCTTAAAGTAGAATATTACCTGATCTCTTAATCTTGCTCCTAATTTAAGTTTGACCTTCAAGACAACCATATTTGAAAACACACACCTTTCCCCAGAGGCCCTATAATAATTATCAAGGAGTAATGCAAATCTTGTAAGTAAAGTGGTGGTGGTTTTGGTGTCATCAATTAGCTGTGGTGTTGCTACCCGGTGTATTTAATGGGCTTGAAAATGTAAAGAAACTGTTTCGATCACCAACTTCTTGAGCCAGCCATACATAGGAATATCCAGTTACAAACAATAAACTTCGTACATTAGACGCCCAGGTATGTCTTCCATCCTCGCCCAGTTGTTTCAACATTAAATAACAATTGTGTGGATATCTCCGTGTGTCTTGCCTCAGAAGACGAAGCCAATATTTCATTACTTTACATTGACCAAAAATCTGTATGGTGTAAAGCCAAGTTTCTCCAAGAATCGCTTTGTTTGCTGCAAACTTCCCAACTCCTAAAAATCTCTTGAAGTACAAAGCATGAAATTTCTCGATAGATTTCTGGTAAGCATATCTCAGATGAGTACAGCAGTATTGGAAATATCTTGGTGTCAAACAATTTGTACGCTTTGGAGAATGGTAAGTCTTTACACTGTCTAAATAGCTGATATACAGGTAAGACAGCTTTTCACCTATGAGATACCAGTTTTTGACAAGCTTTTGACCATTTTAATACGCAGGAGAATAGCAAACAAGGATATTTGTAATAGGTTACAATCTTTATAGTTTCCCACATACTGTCCATGATTCATACCTAGCAACAATTCCACCTTTCCTAACTCCTCTAATGTTAGTTTTGTCCATGTTAATCACCAGTCCCCATTTAGCACAATACTCTGTTATACTGTTTAACTGTCTCTGTAGTCCAACAACAATATACGAGAATGTAACAGCAAACAATAGTAGCATAATATCTTCTATAAACGAGGAAACAAACACTCCATGTTCACAGGTAGAATACATATCACGCACAAGTTCGTTGATGAAAAATATGAACAATTAATATACATCCTTGCCTAACACCAGATGAAGTTGAGAAAGCAGGGTTTTTCTGGCCATCCACTTTGATTTCTGTGGGTTCAAATGCCTTTGATGCCTACTGTTGTATGCCTGAATGCATGCGGGTTTGAATCTGGCTATGATTCGTGATCCTTCACCACCATACTCGGGTTTACCCAACATAGTACACATGCACCGCGTTGTTAAGTGAGTCAGATAAAATCTTACAAACCATCCGTTGGGTGCGGAGTCCTTGGATGGGTGAAGGAGTTTGACAGAGTTTTTCGGACTTCAGTCCTGCTCCACAACGAAACACGTGATACATGTGGTCTCACATTCGGCAAGTGAAAATTGCCTCTGATCACCAGCAGAAAAATGGGTACCCGGTGGGATAAGCCATGTGACTATAACAATAGTAATAGTGTTGTACTGTTTATGCTCGCTTTAAGCATGGAAACTTTGTGGTGTTGAGTACTGCGCGGTGTAAGTACCCTCAATGTTATTATTTATCCTCAATATTTCAGCCATATCGTGACGAGAACAGTTATGTTAGATATAAGAAATCTATGTCACATCTCTCATCACAGGGTGTATAAATAGATGGTCCTCTCCTTTCAACAGTTAGTCATGTGTAAAACGCATATGACCAATTCGACATTCATTTAGTTAAGTACGCCTTAAAAACGTTCAGCAAATTTTTGCTGCTGTATCAAACACTTCCTTCAGTGGCATTTTGAAGCTGGTATGATGAAGTCATACCACTTCATCATACCACTGTATCAAACACATCCGGAAGGGATGCCTTTTGCTATGTTCAGTATTTTTTGTCTGTTAAGTTTTTCCTGTGTACGTGGAATCAATTAGGTCGTTTTCAATGCAGAACGTACACGAGTGTGAATGAGTTATGATTTACTCATAGGCAGTATTTCAGCCATATCGTAAAACAATTTTATATTCATGATACATAAAATTAGATTATAGAAACTTGTCGACAAAGGTCAGTGAGTGAGTTAGTGAGTTAGATTTCAAAGTCACATCTTTAGTATTTCAGCCTATTTATTAGGTCAGCAAAGGATAGTAAAATAAGTAGAATATCACAGCTTTAAACTATCAAGTAACCAAAAATTGATATTTTCAAAACAACACAATATAAAACAGGCTATATATTGCCAACAACAGAAGGTAGATCACCATACTAGGGACCATATGGACCGTCCCCTCAGCTGCTGGATATCATGGACAAAACTAGCCATGAATTAAAATTACATATATTCCACAATTAAAAACATGATAGCCTTAAATTTACTTTGAAGGAAATACCTCCTCAAGAGGACAGTAATTTCACGGTATTTAAACCCCCTTTACAGCCACTAACAATCTTAAATGCGAATTTAATCTAAGAACTTTTTAATAACATCTATCTATGAAGAAAACAAATTATGTAAAAAATATAACATTAAATGAATACCAACGTTATTTTAAACTCCTTCATAGATGAAGCTTTGAAATAAGTATCCCTTGTGGTGGAACAATCAATACAGTTATTAACATGGAGAAAACAGACAAAGTTTAACAAATATTTTAAGACGGTATATGTTATTGAAAAGTGGAAATATTAGACTTACTGACCAAGTTCCTCAATCTAAAACCTGGCAAGGGTCACACTGATAACGAGCATCAGACATAATCCGGGACCAGTATCTCAAAAGCTAATAGAACCAAGGTGCAGTATGTTATCCGTATAGAATGCTTATAAACTGACGTACAAAAGAAACTTCGAAAATATTTTGAAAACACATAAAGTAAACTTGAAATCTGTGGTCAGTACATACCAACACACACAACATGTGAATCATTAGCCCAAACACACTAACTTCAGTGTTTTTTCGCTTTTGATGGATATTTTTCGAAATTCATGTTTATTGGTGACTGCACGTGCAATTCATGCAGACACTTCATAGGCCCTGATTATATGCAGCACGTAATCGTCTCATGACGGTGTTCCTGTGGATGTGGTGTCCGAGTGCCGTTCCTGCCGTTGTCGTCATTGTCAGGAACCTATTTCGGAGATGGAGTAACCGGATGTGGCGGTCTTCTTGGTGATTTGTGACCCCTTGGTCTGACCAGTCTGCTGGAAACGGCTAAAAAGGTTGACGATGGTTTGTCGGCTGCAACCAAGTGTTCTGGCAACGTGGCTGTTGTTTGCTTCCATGTGGGACATACCGACGGCTCTCTCTCGTTTTTCTGCTGTTAGCCTTGGCATCCTTTTTGTGTACTTTTCGTTACAATATTGTCAGTTCATCTCGCGGATCACCTTTTATACCGTTTTTGCATGAATTACACGTGCAGTCACCAATAAACATGAATTTCGCAAAACATCCATCAAAAGCAAAAACAACACTGAAGTTGGTGTGTTTGGGCTAATGATTCACATGTTGTGTGTTTGGTATATCATACTGACAACAGATTTCAAGTTTACTTTATAGGTTTTGAACATATTTTGGGAATTACGGGTGTAAAGTTTCTTTTGTACGTCAGTTTATAATTACACTTTGGTCAAATCACGTGCGTGCCACATATACCTTCGTGGCATACTCGCAACTTGTACCCATTTATGCCGAGCACCAGGCAGGTACCAATAAATACCATATTTTAACTTC